GGCAACCACTCTCGAACGTGGACACCTTTTGGCCAAAATGTGGGATCTTCGATACATTTTGTAATGGCTTCATCGTCCGCTACATTCAGTTGAGCCGATGCAGTGCGTTTCCACGACCGAGCGAAGTATCTTAAATAAGTGTAAGTGATGGAGTTCTCATACAGGTAATCGCACAAAGCATTCTCGGATGACACTTTTTTGTCAATTCCGTGAATGTAATACCGTCTGACTCTCCTTTTCTTTCTAGGAATGAATCCAACAAACCGTGAGCCAGAGGAGATTACTGTTGATAAGTTACGTTTCTCAGCTTTTTTCAAATCATCAGAGTCGCACATGGAAGAAGGGAAATGGACCGGGATCGCAACTATGGGCCCCATCGATTGCCTATTAACTGAACCCTTTTCTGTTTGAACGAAATGGTCAAAGGTAGGCTGAACGGAGGTTAGATCCTTTGTTACATCGCGTGCAAGTTCTGGAGTTTTCCATTGAGTGCCTTTGGGTAGACTAATAGGTGATATTGTCGGCGAATGACGTGGAGAAGATGGAGGTGTAGCAGTTTTGGAGGATCCGCATTGTCCTTTCTTCACAGTAGTCGAGGGCTGTTCGGAGTGTTCTTCTTTCCCTTGCTTTACTTGTCGCTTGACGTCATTCATTTGCTTCTGTAACGTAACCAATGTATGTTTGTTTTGTTCAACAGATCGGGATGTCGACTCAAGGCAGTCGTTAATTGTAGTAACGTCGTTGACACAGTCTTTCGTTGTTTGGAGCACATATTTTAATTTGTTTTTAAATCCTTCAATACCACTTGAGTGATCATCATTGAATTTCTGAGCAATTCCTTCACAATCAGATATTTTTATCCAGGTTTCCTCAACTCGTAGTTTGGCATTCCTAGCGAGTTTTAAAGCTTCAGTTACAGTTTTTTCTAACGTTCTGTTATTTTCATTGTGTTCATTTAGTTCTTCAGATTGTACATCCACTTTCACTGTTAATTCACTGTTTTCTTTCTCTAGTTTGTTCAGTTTACATTGCATAGTCTTTAATTCATCCGTATATTTCTTTGCTCTTTCTCTTGCACTGTCTTTGTCTTTTTGTAGAGTTTTCAGTTGTTTAGTCAGATATTCGAGATCGCAAGCATGGGATGTATTGCTAGCTTTCAGGTTATGTACATCTGATTGCAGAGCTACAACAGCTTCCCTAAGAATCTTTATACCATTCTCTTCATCGGAAAAAGGTATTTTTGGAGGCAGTTCTCGCTGTTTTTTACGTGCGGCTACGACTTCACTTAACTCTTCAGTGTATTCTCCGACAGCAGTGCGAAGGAGTACAAAGCAATCTCTGGCGAGCTATGGCTGTATTGGTTGATCACCAGGTCTACGGGCCCTTAGCCTCTTACGCAATACACCTTCTTTGATAGGGAAATCTTCCTTCTCGGATGCTAGCTTAAACAGTTCATGGCGTAATTGTTCGAGGTCAGGTTCACTGTCGTGGGTTATGGTTCGAATCTGTTCCAATAATAACGACCTGGGTCTGTCTATAATAGCTTTAAGTTCGCCGAGATATCCAGGTATATCATTAGATGGGTTACTATGAGGTTCATAAAATGAGGCTTGGGAAATGTCATGATCATTTGGCGTATATATGAATGACTCCTCGGTGTCATTTTGACCATTTTGCCATGTACTAAAAGGCCGGACGGGTGTAAGTTCAGTGTAAACACGGCTTTCAGAGCCCTCTCTACATGTCAATAGAGCACTATCCATACCGTCGTGTAGAGCGCAAAAGAGCGTGACGAATTTTCGGACGTGCGTTCACTGAGCACTGGGACACACAGGTAAAAATGCTATACGTATATATATAATATATACCATATAGAGACGCAATCAAACTTCAAAACCATGCAGTCAAAATAGGATAAATACGACATGAAGATCACATTTGAAAGTATTTAAAATAATAGTGTATGTGATATGTCGATGTGGGCCATATATATAATGTAATTTGCAATTAACACATGTCTTTTACTAACAAGAAGACTATGCGGTAGATTAGCATATGGCTAAACATGTTTTTATTCTCTTATATCTTCGGTTTTACTCCACTGTAAACATATCCGTACACAACACTCGGACCACTGACTTCGGGCCTACCAACACACATCGAGGCACGTTCGTCAATGACCTAAGCTGTCAACCCTTGTCAAAATTCTGGGCAGCATTAAGCCAAAATGTGCTATAATGTCTCAAGCCCAAATCTATAAATAAAGTGGGGGCTATCCTCCCACATTCCTTGGTAGATTTTAACCTGACAAGATACATCCAAACTAGCCGGGAGAACACTTCAAGGCGATTGGGTCACTTGTTGTTCCACACTCACGCCACATGTACACGTGTGTAATACGTGTTTACGTGTAACAAGGAACAAAGTAAACCCTACACAATACAACAAATGTCAACAGTATATAGGCTTTAAATAGTAAGTAGTTTCATTGTAGAAACCGCGACTTACTTTCTACAACAGATCGGTATCGCGTTCAGCAGAAGACCATTCTTTTCAGTTAAAAGGAAGTTGGATTGAAGTAGTATTGACTACAGTATATAGATGCTTTTACTCGTGCTGTAACAGATTCATTATCACATTGATATAAGTAGAGGTCAAAAACACAGTTGGAACACAAATAACACCCATATCTAACCAGGAACACGAGTCCGTCCTATTACTTACGGAAAGCTTATATGTATTGGTGTAGACATAAAGTTCGTCAATATAAAATGGCTACTGTCATAAATATAAAGATCGTTATAATTTCCTATAGAAATGGCTAATACTGTTTATAACGCAATCGCTACACCTGTTGTAAATATAAACATATTTATAATTTACCTATATATAATAATGACTAATACTGTCTAAACCACAGTATTTACACCTGCTGTTTTTGTAGATATTGAGTGAGTTATAAATTATCTGTAGTAATGGCGAATAATGTCTATACCACAGTCTTTACACCTGTCGTTAACTTTGTAGAGACTAAGTTAGTTATAAGTTACCTATGGTAATGGCTAATGATGTCTAAACCACACTATTTACACCTGCTGTTTTAGTAGATATTGAGTGAGTTATAAATTACCTATAGTAATGGCTAACGATGTCTTTACCACAGTCTTTACACCTGCCGTTACTTTGTAGAGATTAAGTTAGTTATAAGTTACCTATAGTAATGACTAATAATGTCTATACCACAGTCTTTACACCTGTCGTTATCTTTGTAGAGACTAAGTTAGTTATAAGTTACCTATAGTAATGACTAATAATGTCTATACCACAGTCTTTACAACCTGTCGTCATCTTTGTATATACTAAGTTACTTATAAGTTTCCTATAGTAATGGCTAACAATGTCTATACCACAGTCTTTACAACCTGTCGTCATCTTTGTATATACTAAGTTACTTATAAGTTTCCTATAGTAATGACTAACAATGTCTATACCACAGTCTTTACACCTCTCGTTAACTTTGTATATACTAAGTTAGTTATAAGTTACCTATAGTAATGACTAACAATGTCTTTACCACAGTCTTTACACCTGTTGTTAACTTTGTAGAGACTAAGTTAGTTATAAGTGACCTATAGTAATGACTAACAATGTCTATACCACAGTCTTTACAACCTGTCGTCATCTTTGTATATACTAAGTTACTTATAAGTTTCCTATAGTAATGACTAACAAGGTCTATACCACAGTCTTTACACCTCTCGTTAACATTGTAGAGACTAAGTTAGCTATAAGTTATCTATAGAAATGACTAACAATGTCTTTACCACAGTCGTTACACCTGTTGTTAACTTTGTAGAGACTAAGTTACCTATAAGTTACCTATAGTAATGACTAACAATGTCTATACCACAGTCTTTACAACCTGTCGTCATCTTTGTATATACTAAGTTACTTATAAGTTTCCTATAGTAATGACTAACAAGGTCTATACCACAGTCTTTACACCTCTCGTTAACTTTGTAGAGACTAAGTTAGCTATAAGTTACCTATAGTAATGGCTAACAATGTCTTTACCACAGTCTTTACCCCTCTCGTTAACTTTGTATATACTAAGTTAGCTATAAGTTACCTATAGTCATGACTAACAATGTCTATACCACAGTCTTTACATCTGTTTTTAACTTTGTAGAGACTAAGTTAGTTATAAGTTACCTATAGTAATGACTGACAATGTCTTTACCACAGTCTTTACACCTCTCATTAACTTTGTATATACTAAGTTAGCTATAAGTTACCTATAGTCATGACTAACAATGTCTATACCACAGTCTTTACAACCTGTCGTCATCTTTGTATATACTAAGTTACTTATAAGTTTCCTATAGAAATGACTAACAATGTCTATACCACAGTCTTTACAACCTGTCGTCATCTTTGTATATACTAAGCTACTTATAAGTTTCCTATAGTAATGACTAACAATCTCTATACCACAGTCTTTACACCTCTCGTTAACATTGTAGAGACTAAGTTAGCTATAAGTTATCTATAGTAAGGACTAACAATGTCTTTACCACAGTCTTTACACCTCTCGTTAACTTTGTAGAGACTAAGTTAGCTATAAGTCACCTATAGTAATGACAAACAATGTCTATACCACAGTCTTTACAACCTGTCGTCATCTTTGTATATACTAAGCTACTTATAAGTTTCCTATAGTAATGACTAACAAGGTCTATACCACAGTCTTTACACCTCTCGTTAACATTGTAGAGACTAAGTTAGCTATAAGTTAACTATAGTAATGACTAACAATGTCTTTGCCACAGTCTTTACATCTGTTGTTAACTTTGTAGAGACTAAGTTACCTATAAGTTACCTATAGTAATGACTAACAATGTCTTTACCACAGTCTTTACACCTGTTGTTAACTTTGTAGAAACTAAGTTACCTATAGTAATGGTTAATGATGTTTATAAGATGTTGATATGGTGACTTACCTGATGAACGGTACGAGGCCTGGTAGTGTGTATGTGTACTGATTAACAGGTCGATAGATAGAGCGGGTCAATATACAGACTGGCAGGTCAGCGCTCTATAGGGATTCATTCGACCAGTACTCCGGGTATGTTTTGCCCTATCATGATGTGTAGAGAGTTATATTAGACGTTGTACGGATTATATCATTACTCGGTAACAATGTTATTCCGTCATCAGTGTGGCATTTTTACCGCGTGCTATTATATCTTTCTCGTTTTGGGGTAGACCTAACACGGAGCGTGGAGACAGATACATAGACGAGCAAGTACAGGGATCATTTCAAAAATAATTGTATATGGAACGTAGCGTATAGGGTATGTTGTATTTTCTGACGCCGACAGAGTTAAAAGAAATTCCCCGAGCCAAAATAATCAGTTGGAAGAGTTTGTTTTTTTCTACCAGAGTGACAGGGATTACATTTGTAGATTAAATTCACTATCCACAAACTTATTAGGACACACTATTTCCATATTACGAAAGAAATGTTTAACGCTGACACGGTGTCTTTTTTATAATAGCGTTAAGCTGAAGGTACTTGTTCCACACATTTCCGTCACTTCATTCCTTTGCATTTTTGTATAGATGTGGTTGGACCAAAGGACGTTTATTAGCATCCCTTCGTGACAAAGTAACGTTTATGACTGTTCCTTCGCAACAGTTACATGGGGCGTAAAAGGAGTTGTTTTCTGTATTGACATATGCTCTTGTTTATTCTCCTGAAAAATAACAACAGAAGAAAAGTAGAAATTTATTCAGTTTTCTGCTATTTTCGACTTAGTTTAAAATCGGCAGCTTTCATGGAATGTTCTCCATGCAACACAACCAAAATGTTTAAATATGGATACAGGAAGGTAAATTAGAGTTGGTTAAAAATAAAAACTTAAATGTAAGATGTACTTTTTTAAATCAGATAACTGCTGTATATCGTCACTTTAAATGTGTGCAATACCATACCTTTACTGCTATACAGTTTGAAACAATCATTCTAAAATTTGCCTGATGGAGGTACATCGTCTTAAGAGAAAATCTTTTGACCTTATTTATGATAATATTTAATCTATATATAATTTTGATTTAACTTCAAGATTACAAGATTCAAGATTTTTTATTCACTCCAGACACACATTTCGTGTGTAACAGGAGGTCAATCTTCGGATACATTTTATAATGGCAGACCAACTGGAAACATACATATAATAGTATACATACATAAACAACAGCACACATGTAAACATATAACAGCATACACACATACATACACATACATATAACAGCATACATACATAGACACATACATATAACAGCATACATACGTACACACATACATACACAAACATAACAGCATACACACATGCATACACATACATATAAAAGCATACACACATACATACATATAACATCATACACACATACATACACATACACAATACATACACATACATATAACAGCATATATACACACATACATACACATACATATAACAGTATACACACACATACATATAACAGCATACACACATACATACATATAACATCATACACACATACACATACATATAACAGCATACACACATACATACACATACCTATAACAGCATACACACATACATACACATACATATAACAGCATACA